GAGTCACGATATCCAGATTTAACTTCGCCACATCAAAAACAAACAAGTACCGCAATCAAGCTTCTGTTTTTACTTCCGCCCCACATGGCATACAGACCTTCTGCGCATGCCCGCAGCCAATAATAAACAGGATACACATCCGTTGTTAGAATCCGGAGGATACCGACAATAACCAGACAATAATCAGAGTCGGTGTTAACATAGTTAGTACTGTAAACACTACAACATGTAACGAATGTCTCAACTCCACGTTACGCATTATGTGTGTATTATAACTAGATCTATCGTGCGATCCCTGTGAGACTCTCTGTATGGAAAATGGAAGTACGGGCTTGGTTAATTGTGACGTCACAAGCAAGTGACACACATTATGATGTAATGATATATGAACAGGCTTGCCAGCCGATTGGTATTGCTTTTTACAATGCGGACACTCACCAATCGGATAGCTAGCTTTTTTACGAGTAATAACAATGAACTTTTGCGTCATAAATATGCGTGTTGCTGACTTTCAATGAATCCGTTAGCATATTATTCCATGTACAGAAAAGAATTACACACAGGTGAGGTCACAATACTTCTGATTTACTTCTGTTTTCGGGAGCTCTGGTTTTAGCTTTCAGGAAAATTATCACCTCGGCAAAACACATCTCCCTATAAAATATTCTCAGAGTCAAAATATAGTTGTCAACGATCTCAGTGATCTCATGGATGTATTCTATGTTTTTTACAACAGATGCACCCCAAACAACCTCGCGTACCTATTCACTTTTGACTCACGCATTCGATGAACAAATAATGGAGTTTATGTTTTTGTTCACAAAGAGACGCTTTGTTGAATATGTATACTCTGATTGACTGATTTTATTTTTATGTTTTAAAACAACCAATTCAAACATTACTGTCATGGAATTTGGTATTGATGTACGTAACAGTCAGTTGGCCACAGGTCTGAGTAGGCTTTTTAATGGTTTCTTTCCTACTCATCCTGTATACCTATAACTTCTCACAAACTACATAATTCTATGAAACAATATAAAACGAAACAAACTTTTTTTATGTGTAAACAAAGGTCTCAGACATTATATTACGTTAGATGATCTGAATATGACTGAACCTTTGTTTTGTTGCACTATTGTTCAGATTCTGGGTGCAAAATATTAAACATACTTTATTTAATTTTCACATCTATGGAACAAGTAGATTAAAGAAACGGCTAAAGTATATTACAAGGAAGTACTTATACACTCACACCTGTGTTGTTGGGGGGACCTGGGCGGAGGAGCGGAGGTATAGCCTGTTTTCTTGCATTACTGGGGATGGATAGAGAAAAGCGCAATATTTGTCTTATACACAAGGATCACATACTTTCAGGACTGCTCTCTAATTGAGAATGCTAACCACTTGGAACTTCATATTAACTAATGGGCATTGCAATATAATGGTAATGCAGACAAATGTTAATCAAGATTTTATTGGAAACGTGCCGTCATGATTGACAAGGTTACACTCTAAATGGTTTGTACTATATACTAAAGTCGCTCGTATTCCGTGGTGTTACTGAAGTGTAATGAATACATTGAATCTATGCTGAAGTCGTTGGTATGCTAGCGTGTTATCGAAGTGCGGTAACTACTGGTATATATAATTCTGGTATGAACACGGTTTTGTTTTATTTAAGATAGCGATGATAATGACTATATGTTTATACCTACTGATTGTGATGTTATTGCTGCCTTGCCTGGTAACAGCATTCCTACACCCCCACACGGAACCATTGTCTATGCTGGCGTCTGCTAAAAAAGAAACGAAAACGCAAACGCCGACAGCAAACAGGAAATTCATCTTTAGCTGTAACCAGGTTTTTCCACGTAGTACCAACACCAACCATTGGACCGTGGAACCGTTGTCACACATGTTGGTTGGTTGGTTGTTTAACGCCGCACTCAGCAATATTCCAGCTATATGACGGCGTTTGTCACACATGTACACACGGAACAAAACGTGACCAACCCAGGCCAGATCCGGTCGAGCACCTATCACTACCAGAGCACAAGACAGATTCATACGTCACTTATTTAAACGAACAACCACGGCCACCTCTACAACTACGGCAATACCTGATTCCGCAGGATATCACCCCACACAGCGAGGAACCGTTTACGCGCTGAAGGTATTCGCGATAGACGATCAGTTCGAGGTGTCATTTTGACGGACCTGCATCGTCGGCTGCAACGTCAAGATGTCAAGGTCACAGCGTATGGCCACAACTGCGGCGGAGACAAGTTTGGTTTAGTGACGAGTCACGTTTTATGCTTCGCCGTGCGGGTGGAAGACGTCGTGTTTACAGGCGTGGCGTTGAACGTTATGCACGAAACTGCATACAGGAAATGGACAGATTTGGTGGTGATAGTGTGATGATATGGGCAGCCATCTCATACACTGATAGAACAGACTTGGTGCAAGTTCTGGGGAATTTAACGGCCCAGCCTTACACGGATGAGAATCTTCGGCCACGTGTTCTTCCCATTATGCAACAAGCAAACGTCATTTTCCAAAAAGGCCACGCCCGACCTCACACGGCAAGTCTGTCAACAGCCTTTTCCAGGAATCACAACATCCAGATCTCGCCATTGCCCGCGAAGTCCCTAGATTTAAACCCAATCGAACAATAATGGGATGCACTGGATCAACAACTGCGAGCACGCCAGTAACAACTACAGAACCTCCGACAGTTGGAACAAGCACTGCAGGCAGAGTGGGTGAACATTCCCAGGCCACAATTCGGGATCTTATTGCTTCAATGGGATGACGATGTCAATTTTGGACTGCGATGGTAGCCATACAAGATATTGAGAACAGAGGACCTGCACCTTTGAAATCTACTGTTCCATAGGTGCCTTATAGAACCTGGGGCAATGCCAATGGGGTGTGCCAATTGTAAACAATCGCTTACCATCTGTTGACTATTTATATGATATATGAAATATACATCAAAAATCACTTTGCGCTTCTTTTTTATGCAGAGAATATATCCCTGCGTGTCAACTCAAAGTTCGAGGATTGGAGGAGAACCCGAAGTAGACGTTATCAGTTTGTCAACTCCATCCCGGATAAACCAAGGCTCAGGAATTGGAGCTGGAGCAGAACCTACAACCAGCGAATCCTGGTACCTTTAAGGGAAATAACTGTGAACATCGGGTGTCCTGTGATTACACAAGTCATCAAAATACAATACTTTACCTGCCCCCAAGAAGAACCAGCTAGTCCAGTGAAAAGTTTATTCAGTATTGTTAAACATAATGACAAGTTATTTTGTTTCCGGCATTGTCAAGACGTTCATTTTTTGTGTCCCCAGCAGTGATTGAATATTACCCACAGCGTCGTAAAGCAATATTTCCACTGGCGTTATTTAAAGCAATTTGTTGAATTGTTTTAGCCCGTAAGTTGTATATAAACATGAATAAAAGCCTTAAAGATATTTCTATATTCATAAGAAATTACTGCCGAAAGCAGTACGATTCCCAGCTTAAGCATGTGTTTATCAATCACTATCAAATAGTAATGACACCAGGTGTCACAAGCCCGTCACAAACACATGCAAAGGCAAGTCAATTATTCACCTGAAAAATACGGGAACATAAGGTATAAGTCAATATAGGGAATTGCATCGGACATCATTTTTGTAACTGATGCGTCACATTTGGAAATGTCCTACACATAAAACCTTTTGAAAGTTTTACTGATGAGGCCATGAATGTTGTAACCATGATCAAACAACAGCAAGCGTTGCGTGACACTCTTGGTAGAAATAGCATGCTCGATTGTTCTTTAAAGGTTGTGGCATGAAGACACTAAGTTGTCTGACAAATACCGACGCTAACACATGTTGAATGAGTGAGTTTTACTAATAGTATTCCAGTTATATCACAGCGTGTCAGCTCAGTGTAGAAGGAAAACCCGAAGTGACGCAGTTTTCCTATGTTTACCACTTTCGTGAAACTCATGAGCACCGGTATGGTGCTTAAAAACCTAATCGGAGAGAGCCCGGGATTCGAACCCACATAGGTTTCCGGGACGCAACTCTGCACAGCGCATTGCGGTGCCTTAGACGACTGGGCCACCTGTGTCATTTACACGTTGAACACTCGATATATCGTTTATAACGAGGAAACATTATTGTCCCTGCATAATCCAAAAATATATTAGCGCTGTCAGCACTATCATCATAACCTCTGTTGTCCCATACTGCGGATATTTCGACATGTATTCGATCATCCCCAGAACTTCGAAGTACCACTTTTACTAGCCATTTCGACAAGTGAAGATCCGGGGTAGAATAGGTCTTCAGCAACCTTTATTGCCGTAAAAGGCGACTATGCTTGTCGGAAAAGGCGACTTACGGGATCGGGTGGTCAGGATCGCTGACTTGGTTGATGCATGTCATCTTATCCCAATTGCGTGGATTGATGCTCATGATGCCAATCACTGTATTGTCAGGTCCAGACTCGATTATTTACAGACCGCCGTCATTATAGCTGGAATTTTGCTGAGTGCGGCGTTAAACAACAAACAAACCAAACAAGCCATTTCGTGCTGTGTGTTAAGATGGTCGTATTGATCACTGGTTAGGGGCACCTTTGCTTATGGACTAATATTAGCGTCACATACGGCTTTATTCAAATAATATACGGGGCCTCGTTAGGTCATCAGAAAAGCCTTTTCTTGTGCAATTCTTTTTGAACAGGATTATGGTTAAACGTATACAGTAACTAAAGTTACATAAATCATACAGAATTCATGACACATAATACCTAATGTCTCGTAAATCGTAAAATGTTCTTTTCGAACATTTCAATTGGTAACGTCTAAGACAAGATTCACATCAGGCTTTCCTCCCAAATCCAGCTGCCACACCGTGATGTAACTGAATTACTCTCACTCACTCACTCGTCTATGTAGGTATGTATCCCTGAGGAGAGACAAGTTTAACAAGATGCTATTTTTAAAGAGACTTTATTGTCTCTAGTACAAGGAGTAGTGTTGATTCTTACGCTGTTGTTAATCAAGTCATCTGATCTTCAATCTGAAGTGGTATGCCAAACTAATTCACAGGACTCTAACAGCCAGCATCACACCAACAGCGATGACCACTCCACCACCCAACGTGGGTTCCTCTTCACATGCAGTCGAACTGATGTCAGGCATAAATGCAGGTTTACCTACAATTAGGAAAAAAGCGGATTTTGTAATGGTAACAATTCCTCAAAATATTAGGGGACGTAGGGAAGCGGTTGTAGTGGTTAAACCGTTCGCTCGTCACGCCAAAGTACCGGATTCCTTTCCCCCACATAGGTACAATATAAAGCCCTATCCTGGTGTCCCACCGCCGTGTCCCAACGCCGTGATATTGCTGGATAACGCTGAAAGTGGCATAGAACTCAACTCACTCATTCTCTCCAAAAATACCCCCCCCCCCACCACCTCCCACTCGCGTGATAAGTGCATGCATCCACAAAGTAATACCAAATAAAATGTAAGCCAACTTGTTTTTTCATGTTAACTTATGGTAGCAATTCTCCAAAAGGCTACGTTTTAGTTATATAAAAAAAGTGTTAATTTTCTGTTGATTCTGCGTATAAATATGATGATTATATATATTTCCAGGTAAAAAATAAATCTCATTTCCATAAACATTGCTTTTAATATAAAAAAATAATGTCAATATGTAAATAAATATAATAGTCTTTATGTTGTTTCTGTAAGCAACAATGGCCCATTCAATTATAATCTGCCATGTAAGAGGCTGATGACAGGAGATGCATTCATCCATGTCCATGTGTTTTGTCACACATGGACATGGATGAATGCCTCGCCTATCAACAGTTGAACTATTCCCAATAAACTCAAATGTCAGTCAACTTAAACTCTTAAACGTTTACACCAATACGGCGCACTCCACAAGCTTGGCAAGGCAAATAAACTTACTTAAGAATACAAGGTTTAACGTTTATTTATTACCAGGGCGTGAACATATTGCTGTCTGTTGTCGTTGGTGTAGGTCAAGGCAGTTTGTTCCCGGACCAATCACAGAACATGTTACAGTGAAATTTTGGGCTACATCGTTTACTGGAATTGAAACATCGCCAGCCAACTCATCATATGTATGTTCAGCTTCGTAGATTTTCAACTGAAAATAGAAATTAATGTACTGACAGCGTAAAAATATTGTTTAACGCTGCAAAATCCGTTTTATATCTTTCTCCATCAATTGATGGTTAAACGTTAACTATGAGTGAGTGAGTTGATAATATATTTTTAGCATTGCTGTCATCACTATCTTGTCAGCACCATATTCGTTCTCGTGGGTTTCACCAAAGTAGTATAAAATAATTATACTTCTAAGACCTGCATCACTTCATGATACGCCATGATATAACTGAAATACTGTCTAAAGTGGCGCTAAACTAAACTCACTCAAACACTATGAAGCACCAATACACATTTTGACCACAAGCTTTGTTCGGCTCTTTCGACACACACATGATACTGTAAACAAATAATATCACGTGGCACAATTAACATCTATCGTTTCTTACGTCACTAAATACAATTATACCTGTCTACATTGATTGTTACATTTATCATACGTTCATGGGTATTAATCTTTAATCGAAAAAAACAAATAAGGCTATAATAGAATCCAAATTTTCTGGAGTGTGAAATGTAATACTGTAAAAATTCGGGACTATGATGCAAAACACGTGTCACGGGTTGCTCACCGTGACGTTAACACGTGGGTCTGCGCTTAATCCAGTACATACGTCCGCAACACGAAACGTATCAGCTAGAAGTGGTTCACAGTTAACTTTGAGTCCTGATACAGCATCCCCTAGGTCCTCTGAAACATACGTATAAGGCAATCCAATACAATCAATACAGGTGAAACATATCTGGAAGATATCACTTCAGGCCTCAAAGTTGCCACTAGTACGGTAGCCAATGGGACCTAAATTTCAATTTGTCTACTGTCTAAAATTCCGAGGTTGCCAAATGGCTACCCTGAAAAGCATCTTGTGGCGATTAAATTCTATTGCTACACGTATGTAGACACAAAAAGAAATAACAGCTGATCTTGGAAAAAAATATCTACTGATTAATAATTGTACTGGCAAATAATTCCTCCTAAAGTCGATAATGAACAGAAATACAAAAATATTAATGGTATTAGTATTATATTTCAGTTCACAATTGTTCATTGGATAAGCAAGACTATACCTATATAAACTAGTAACATAAACTGCATCATTGCCAGAGTCACAAGTAACAAAACTTAAATACTGGTTCCACTAATATACAATTCCAAAACTAGTGCTATGACTTGTTCATATTATAATAGTTATTTGATAAAAGATCATTTGAAATTCTTTTGGCTACCTACAATACTGGCTTGACTTCTTGATTTTACCACTGGCTACCACGTAAACATTTGATTTCAAAATGACGATAATCATGGGAGTCAACTGAAAGACTGACATACACCAACATTTGAGGTGACAGAGACAAGGCAGTGGCCCAGCCTAGCATCCTTTAAATGATAGCATACATTGTTTTAAAGGGTTATATATACATGTTCCATGCTTTAATGCAATTGGTTTCATTGTACACTAAAGTAACCCAGAGGTGACATTGTATTTAGCATGTTCATGCGCACAGATTTGCTAAATTCTCCAACATCGTTTAACAATTCAATATTCAATTATCCTACTGGTCTATCGTGTCAAGACTATAATCTGTATCAATACGCAATCCATTTGTGACAACAAGATCAGTTTTAGTTTTCAGCTTACCATATTTAGTCACGTGACAAGTCTTCCTGAGTGGGTTTGTGCCATCACGACAAATCCAGGTACCTGAATCAAGTGTCGTGAAGTTCTTGATGCGAAGTATGTGTTTTTCATCAGAGCGTAACACCACCTCATAATTCTTAATGTTTACATAGCATTTATAAGGATTCCGCAGGCATGTTACCACTTCAATATGATCCGGCCGGGACCACCCTATAGACTCGTATACCCCCGCGATGTCACAGGTGATGTTGATGGCCTGACCAATGCATGAAGCTTCAGGGCAGGATGTACTTGTTTCTGCTGCGTCTGTGAACATTGCAGTCATGGTTATGCTCAAAGGCAAATGTATTACAAATATATAAATTTTACTGATGAAAATAATCACATGGCAGTACAGGGTAGCTTCATGTTGCTGTCATGGGTGGTAGGGTAAAAAGGAAAATCATGCATCATATTTTGATTTCGTTTGGGTTTGAACAGTCATTTCACCAGAAGTATGCTTCGAAATTCCCAACACGGTGTGTGATAATATGATCTGAGATACTCTTGCATTTGAGTATGTACATGTGCTTGTAGCTGTGGAACGTAATGGCTCAGACGTATTTGTAATAACAATAACCGATTAGTCTATATACCTACAGTGATATTTGATAAATGTAAGATACATCTAATTAACAAGATAACTTTGCATTCCATAACAAAATACGATAAAATATGTATTACTCTCAATGTGAAGAGATCAGCCGTTTGATAATAATACACCTTTATTAAACAGTGTTTGATAACATTACGTGCAGATGGGACTGTTTTACGTCAGGCTGGTCATTCGAATGTGCACAGTGCAGCTGTACTCTGCAACGTCTACTCTACTTCTAGACGGATACGATAGACACTACTATTTTGCACAAAGCAGCAGTGATTTATAGACACACTACGTATGCATTTCAAAACTGTGTCAAATTCGTGTGCTTTTTTAAGCTTCCTACGATCTAACCCAACCTGGGTTCTGTTGTGAAAAGCAACCTCAGCGTTACTAAGTCTATGTTAAGGTATGGGAGTTACGATAACCTTAACACTAAGATCGCTTTGCACAACGGCACCGTACCCATGACTCGCTAACAAATACGTTTGAAGCGGAAAGTTAACGGACTTTCCCTCTTCTATTGAAATAGAGCAAGCACGTTGGCATTAACAGAGGTTAAGAGCATCACTAACAAACTAAGAACTGTGTCGAAAGATCATCATTACATTCATCGTTGCGTCTGCTTGCGACCTTAAACTTTGTGTTGTAAATAAGAGCCCCGTCCCCTGGTCGATGCGGACAGTCGTCACAAAAAAGGTCAATGTCGAACGTAAATCTTTCGTTAATCTGTGGTTCAGTGACGAGTCTCGTTTTATGCTTCGCAGTACGGTTGGCTGACGTCGTGTTTACAGGCGTCGCGGTGAACGTTATGCACGAAATTTCATGCAGGAAGTGGACAGATTTAGTGGTGGTAGTGTGATGATGTGGGCAGCCATCTTCTACACTGGTAGAACAGACTTGGTGCAAGTTCTGGGTAATTTAACGACACAACGGGTAAGATTCTTAGGCCACACGTCCTTCCCATTTTGCAACATGCGAACGTCATTTTCCAACAAGACCAGCCCACTTCACATGGCAAGACTTACAACAGCCTTTTTTCAGGAATCACATCATCCAGAGCCTGCCATGGCCCTCCGGGTCTCCAGGTTTAAACCCAATTGAACATTTATGGGATGCACTGAATCTGCGACTGTGAGCATGCCAGTTTTTGTTTGTTTGTATATTTGTTGTTTAACGCCGCACTCAGCAATATTTCAGCTATAAGACGGCAGTCTGTAAACTATCGAATCTGGACCAGACAATCCTGTGACTGACATCAGGAGCATCGATCCACGCAATTTGGATACGATACGCATCAACCAAGTCAGCGAGCCTGACCACACGATTTTAGGCAAGCATGGGTTGCTAACAACCACAGAACCTCCGACAGTTGACACAAGCACTGCAGTCAGTGTTGGTGAACATTCCCTTGCCCACAATTCGGGATCTGATTGCTTCCATTGAACGACTTTAATGGTGGCCATACAAGACATTGATAACAGATGACCTTCTGATGAAAATCTACTGTTTTATATTGAACCTGTGTCAGTGCTTTTTTTTTAAAAATAAATACATTTTAACATCCTACCTGCCTCTGTAGTTAGAGAAAAAACATTATGAAGCTTTATGAAACCTAATAAATTCTTTGGACGAACGCATTCATTACATGAAATGTCTCCAACTGTAGGAACAATAGAAGGTTAACACCCTCACCTTGCACTTGTACAGCAAGAACCATCACAAGAACATGTGTCAGTGAGGGGGTCATATTCATCCTACACTCCGCCCTAGGAGAGAAAAAAAACACATGACAAAATATATGTTCTAACCTTGAATGAATTCTTGTATATCCTAACAGACCTTTATAGTATATTTGTGAAGATACATGCGAAAACGTTCGCAATGGCAATGGAATGGCAATTATATTGATTATCATGAATGTATAATGCAGGTGAAAGTTACACACATACACTGATATGTGTTTCCTTTAAAACATACAGATACAGTAGATACATCATGATGTCGTGTGTCTTCACCTTAAATCACATATATACGACCTTCGAGTGCGTCATTAACCCGTAGTTTCATTCTTCAACGCAACGAGTGGAATGGCCCACTGTTAATAAAGTCAGTTTTCTTTGGTTTGTTTTTTGTTTATTTGTTGTTTAACGCCGCAGTCAGCAAAATTCCAGCTATATGACAGCGGTCTGTAATTAATCGAGTCTGGACCACACAATCCAGTGATTGACATACATTAACAATGCATCAACCACGTCAGAGAGTTTGACCAACCGATCCCGTTAGTCGCCTCTTACGACAAGCATAGTCGCCTTTTTGTAGAGTTGACTGATGGGAGATGTGACTGTAGATACAAACAGTTGCACCGATTACAGCATAGGTTCAAGCAGGAATTAACAAGAAATGTTATGCAATAATTATCTTCTCATACTGTAATAGCGACGTTTCGGTATAGATCCTTATACCTTTGTCAAGCAAGACTGTACATGGTACAGAATTATTTATAATAGGTGAAGGATAAAGAGTGACGATAATTTGCATAAATGAGAGAGATTAACATGAGCAGGTTAAATATCAACAACAGAAGAGTAAAAAGGTAACAACATGATGGACAGAGTGAGTGAGTGAGTTGAGTTTAACGCCGCTTTTAACAGTATTCCAGTTATATCACGGCGTGTGGGAGGAAAGCCCGAAGTGATGCATGTCTCAGACGTTTACCACTTCGGTGAAACCAACGTGCACGGGTGTGGTGCTGACAAACCTAGAAACATAATCGGATCGAACCACGATGGTTCTATTGGTAAGATATAACACATTATGGATACAGGTAAATATCGACCCATACCTGTACCGGGTATTGTGATACCATTCATTAATTAGTGTCGTTTTGAGCAATTAGTTGATCGAGGTCAGAATCGAAAAAGTTGTCATCAGATAAGTCAATATTACCAGCCAATGATTTTAGGGGCGGTGGTGTAGCCCAGTGACTAGAGCGTTTTGCTCGTCACGCCGAATGCCCGGGTTCGATTCCCCACTTAAGTACAAATGTGTGAAGCCCATTTCTAGTGTCCCTTGCCGTGATATTGCTGGAATATTGCTAAAAGCAGCGTAAAACCATACTCCCTCACTATAAATTTTTTGAGTTATAATGTTCCTTTAATATATTGCAAATATTTATCATGCCCTGAACAGTCTAAATAGCGGATGAGGTGGGGTGGGGTTTCAAGTCGCGTTCAGGATTATTGCACCATATGTGTGTACTAATCGTGACTAATGTCAGTTTTATAGATATAGTGCTTGCCCATTGAGATACTATGCTGTAGTATAACATGGATACCCCACTCAGATACAGTATGCTGACTCCGAGCCGACCAGTCCTAGTTTTATCCCCTTAATGCCGAGCGCCTGGCATTGTAACAACAAAAACTAGGGCTGGGGATCGAATCACCGACCACAGACGCCCTATCCACTAAACCTGGGAGGCGGTCATAATTAGAATAACAGCTGAATAACAGAAAGTGACTACGAAATCCCTTTAATTCAATGCTGCCTATAAACTGCCTATCATATCTTTCGGACACACCACAATTAACTCCGCGTTAACAAGTTTTAATTAATACTTTATATTTTAAAGAACTTTAGTGACACGTTTTTTCAGTGGAAAGGGCATACACACAGATGAATGATTATCAATATATGATTCATTGAATCAGGAAGTGAGAAAATTGGCCTCACAAGTGGCAGTCACAAGATAGATCTAAATTGTTAAATGATGTGATGCTAAGTTTCTAACAAAATTATCCATGAAAAGCCTGTTGTTCTTAACCATGACATACACTGATTCATTAAAGCAATATCGGTCTTCACTGAATATGAGCATGATGTTCGCGATGGGATGGGGAAACACACGACAAATTTTAAAACATAGATTTGTAATTGCTGAAGGACCGAGGTGTTAACCTGACGACTAGAAGTGTATCACATACACACTGTATGTCTAGGGAAATGTGTGGGAATTTAGAACACTGAAGCGGGGAATTAAAATTAGATTTACTTACGAAGAGTGATGTGTTGTTCAAGAGAGCAGGATGTCGCGACTGGTTACACGGACTTGGAATGTGTAAATGAACATGAACGCTTTTAACATCTTCAATTAATGGAAGTTTAATATTTATATTAGGCTGCTAATAGTAAATCACATTTCAAACTTGTCAGCTGAATCTGAATGCAATGGGTCAATAGTGCTTATGTTGAGAGAGTTTTAGCTATATTAAAATATCCCCTCAACCAGAAGTGGGATAACGCTTTTAACATCTACAATTAATGGAAGTTTAAGATTTTCATAAGGCTGCTGATAGTAAATCACATTTCAAACTTGTGAGCTGAATCTGAATGCAATGGGTCAATAGTGCTAATTTTGAGAGAGTTTTAGCTATATTATTACAAATATCCCCTCAACCAGAAGTGGGATAACGTTTTTAACATCTACAATTAATGGAAGTTTAAGATTGTCATTAGGCTGATAATAGTAAATCACATTTCGAACTTGTGAGCTGAATCTGAATGCAATGGGTCAATAGTGCTAATTTTGAGAGAGTTTTAGCTATATCATTACACATATCTCCTCAACCAAAAGTGGGATATCGCTTTTAACATCTTCAATTAATGGAAGTTTAATGTTTATATCAGGCTGCTGATAGTAAATCACATTTCAAACTTGTGAGCTGAATCTGAATGCAATGGGTCAATAGTGCTAATTTTGAGAGAGTTTTAGCTATATTATTATACATATCCCCTCAACCAGAGGTGGGATAACGCTTTTAACATCTACAATTAATGGAAGTTTAATGTTTATATCAGGCTGCTGATAGTAAATCACATTTCAAACTTGTCAGCTGAATCTGAATGCAATGGGTCAATAGTGCTAATTTTGAGAGAGTTTTAGCTATATTATTACACATATCTCCTCAACCAGAAGTGGGATAACGCTTTTTACATCTTCAATTAATGGAAGTTTAATATCTATATAAGGCTGCTGATAGTAAATCACATTTGAAACTTGTGAGCTGAATCTGAATGCAATGGGTCAATAGTGCTAATTTTGAGAGAGATTTAGAGCTCTATATTATTACACATATCACCTCAACCAGAAGTTGGATAACGCTTTTTACATCTACAATTAATGGAAGTTTAATATCTATATAAGGCTGCTGATAGTAAATCACATTTCAAACTTGTGAGCTGAATCTGAATGCAATGGGTCAATAGTGCTAATTTTGAGAGAGTTTTAGCTATATTATTACACATATCCCCTCAACCAGAAGTGGGATGACGTTTTTAACATCTACAATTAATGGAAGTTTAAGATTTTCATTAGGCTGATGATAGTAAATCACATTTCAAACTTGTGAGCTGAATCTGAATGCAATGGGTCAATAGTGCTAATTTTGAGAGAGTTTTAGCTATATTATTACACATATCCCCTCAACCAGAAGTGGGATAACGCTTTTAGCATCTTCAATTAATGGAAGTTTAATGTTTATATCAGGCTGCTGATAGTAAATCACATTTCAAACTTGTGAGCTGAATCTGAATGCAATGGGTCAATGGTGCTAATTTTGAGAGAGTTTTAGCTATATTAAAATATCCCCTCAACCAGAAGTGGGATAATGGTTTTTACATCTTCAATTAATGGAAGTTTAAGATTTTCATTAGGCTGCTGATAGTAAATCACATTTCAAACTTGTGACCTGAATCTGAATGCAATGGGTCAATAGTGCTAATTTTGAGAGAGATTTCGAGCTCTATATTATTACACATATCACCTCAACCAGAAGTTGGATAACGCTTTTTACATCTACAATTAATGGAAGTTTAATATCTATATAAGGCTGCTGGTAGTAAATCACATTTGAAACTTGTGAGCTGAATCTGAATGCAATGGGTCAATAGTGCTAATTTTGAGAGAGTTTGAGCTATATTATTACACATATCCCCTCAACCAGAAGTGGGATAACGTTTTTAACATCTACAATTAATGGAAGTTTAAGATTTTCATTTGGCTGATGATAGTAAATCACATTTCGAACTTGTGAGCTGAATCTGAATGCAATGGGTCAATAGTGCTAATTTTGAGAGAGTTTTAGCTATATTAAAATATCCCCTCAACCAGAAGTGGGATAATGGTTTTTACATCTTCAATTAATGGAAGTTTAAGATTTTCATTAGGCTGCTGATAGTAAATCACATTTCAAACTTGTGAGCTGAATCTGAATGCAATGGGTCAATAGTGCTAATTTTAAGAGAGTTTTAGCTATATTATTATACATATCCACTTAACCAGAAGTGGGATAACGCTTTTAACATCTACAATTAATGGAAGTTTAAGATTTATATCAGGTTGCTGATAGTAAATCACATTTCAAACTTGTGAGATGAATCTGAATGCAATGGGTCAATGGTGCTAATTTTGAGAGAGTTTTAGCTATATTATTACACCTATCCCCTCAACCAGAAGTGGGATAACGCTTTTTACATCTACAATTAATGGAAGTTTAAGATTCATTAGGCTGCTGATAGTAAATCACATTTCAAACTTGTGAGCTGATTCTGAATGCAATGGGTCAATAGTGCTAATTTTGAGAAAGTTTTAGCCAAATTATTACAAATATCCCCTCAACAAGAAGTGGGATAACGTTTTTAACATCTACAATTAATGGAAGTTTAAGATTTTCATTAGGCTGCTGATAGTAAATCACATTTCAAACTTGTGAGCTGAATCTGAATGCAATGGGTCAATAGTGCTAATTTTAAGAGAGTTTTAGCTATATTATTACACATATCACCTCAACCAGAAGTGGGATAACGCTTTTAACATCTACATTAATGGAAGTTTAATGTTTATATCAGGCTGCTGATAGTAAATCACATTTCAAACTTGTCAGCTGAATCTGAATGCAATGGGTCAATAGAGCTAATTTTACAGAGTTTTAGCTATATTATTACACATATCCCCTCAACTAGAAGTGGGATAACGCTTTTAACATCTACAATTAATGGAAGTTTAAGATTTATATTAGGCTGCTGATAGTAAATCACATTTGAAACTTGTGACCTGAATCTGAATGCAATGGGTCAATAGTGCTAATTTTGAGAGAGATTTAGAGCTCTATATTATTACACATATCACCTCAACCAGAAGTTGGATAACGCTTTTTACATCTACAATTAATGGAAGTTTAAGATTTATATTAGGCTGCTGATAGTAAATGACATTTGAAACTTGTGAGCTGAATCTGAATGCAATGGGTCAATAGTGCTAATTTTGAGAGAGTTTTAGCTATATTATTACACCTATCCCCTCAACCAGAAGTGGGATAACGCTTTTTACATTTACAATTAATGGAAGTTTAATATCTATATAAGGCTGCTGATAGTAAATCACATTTGAAACTTGTGAGCTGAATCTGAATGCAATGGGTCAATAGTGCTAATTTTGAGAGAGTTTTAGCTATATTATTACACGTATCCCCTCAACCAGAAGTGGGATAACGTTTTTAACATCTACAATTAATGGAAGTTTATGATTTTCATTAGGCTGCTGATAGTAAATCACATTTCAACTTGTGAGTTGATTCTGAATGCAATGGGTCAATAGTGCTAATTTTGAGAGAGTTTTAGCTATATTATTACATATATCCCCTCAACCAGAAGTGGGATAACGTTTTTAACATCTACAATTAATGGAAGTTTAAGATTTTCATTAGGCTGATGATAGTAAATCACATTTCAAACTTGTCAGCTGAATCTGAATGCAATGGGTCAATACTCAATAGTGCTAATTTTGAGAGAGTTTTAGCTGTAATATTACACATATCTCCTCAACCAGAAGTGGGATAACGCTTTTAACATCTTCAATTAATGGAAGTTTAATGTTTATATCAGGCTGCTGATAGTAAATCACATTTCAAACTTGTGAGCTGAATCTGAATGCAATGGGTCAATAGTGCTAATGTTGAGAGAGTTTTAGCTATATTATTATACATATCCCCTCAACCAGAAGTGGGATAACGCTTTTAACATCTACAATTAATGGAAGTTTAATGTTTATATCAGGCTGCTGATAGTAAATCACATTTCAAACTTGTGAGCTGAATCTGAATGCAATGGGTCAATACTCAATAGTGCTAATTTTGAGAGAGTTTTAGCTATATTATTACACATATCCCCTCAACCAGAAGTGGGATAACGCTTTTAACATCTACAATTAATGGAAGTTTAAGATTTATATCAGGTTGCTGATAGTAAATCACATTTCAAACTTGTGAGCTGAATCTGAATACAATGGGTCAATGGTGCTAATTTTGAGAGAGTTTTAGCTATATTAAAATATCCCCTCAACCAGAAGTGGGATAACGGTTTTTACATCTACAATTAATGGAAGTTTAAGATTTTCATTAGGCTGCTGATAGTAAATCACATTTCAAACTTGTGAGCTGAATCTGAATGCAATGGGTCAATAGTGCTAATTTTGAGAGAGTTTTAGCTATATTATTACACCTATCCCCTCAACCAGAAGTGGGATAACGCTTTTTACATTTACAATTAATGGAAGTTTAATATCTATATAAGGCTGCTGATAGTAAATCACATTTCAAACTTGTGAGCTGAATCTGAATGCAATGGGTCAATAGTGCTAATTTTGAGAGAGTTTTAGCTATATTATTACACGTATCCCCTCAACCAGAAGTGGGATAACGTTTTTAACATCTACAATTAATGGAAGTTTATGATTTTCATTAGGCTGCTGACAGTAAATCACATTTCAACTTGTGAGTTGATTCTGAATGCAATGGGTCAATAGTGCTAATTTTGAGAGAGTTTTAGCTATATTATTACATATATCCCCTCAACCAGAAGTGGGATAACGTTTTTAACATCTACAATTAATGGAAGTTTAAGATTTTCATTAGGCTGCTGATAGTAAATCACATTTCAAACTTGTGAGCTGATTCCGAATGCAATGGGTCAATAGTGCTAATTTTGAGAAAGTTTTAGCTATATTATTACAAATATCCCCTCAACAAGAAGTGGGATAACGTTTTTAAAATCTACAATTAAAGGAAGTTTAAGATTTTCATTAGGCTGATGATAGTAAATCACATTTCAAACTTGTGAGCTGAATCTGAATGCAATGGGTCAATAGTGCTAATTTTAAGAGAGTTTTAGCTATATTATTATACATATCCCCTCAACCAGAAGTGGGATAACGCTTTTAACATCTACAATTAATGGAAGTTTAATGTTTATATCAGGCTGCTGATAGTAAATCACATTTCAAACTTGTGAGCTGAATCTGAATGCAATGGTTCAATAGTACAAATTTTGAGAGAGTTTTAGCTATATTGTTACACATATCCTTCCAACCAGAAATGGGATATTGCTCTTAACATCTACAATTAATGGAATTTTAAGATTTCCATTTGACTGCTCATAATATGTCACATATCAAAATTGTGAGCAGTAACTGAATGCAATGGGTCAATAACATTAATTTTGAGAGAGGTTTTGAGACATTATTACACATATCCCCTCAACCAGAAGTGCCATAACGCTTTTAAGATCTACATTTAATGGAATCTTCAGATTTCCTTTTTCCTGATTTTAGACATTCACATTTCAAACTTGTGAGCAGAATTTCAAAGCCTCCAAAGCACTAATTTTGAAAGCGTGTTAACTTTACTATTACACATATCCCTTAAACAGCGCCTTTAAATTCTACAATTAATGGAATTTTAAGATTTCCTTTTCAACTGATTATTGTGAATCACATTTGAAACTTGTCAGAAGAATCTGAATGCCATTGTTCAATGATGCTAATTTTGAGAGATTTTTAATAATATTATTACACATATCCATTCAACCAGAAATTGGATAACGCTTATAAAAAAACTACAATTAAGAGAATTCTAAGATTTCCTTTCAGCTCATGATAGTAAATCCCATTTAAAACGTTTGAGAAGAATCTGAATGCAATGGGTGAATAGTACTAATATGAGAGATTTTTAACAGTATGTCCCTGGGTATCCGACAATTTTCAAAGTTAAGTAGATTCTAATCAAATAAAAACTAATAATTCTAATAATATCTGTTTTCGTTATACTGTAAGAGTTGACATATGAAGAATGACTTAACTATATTATCACCATAACAACCACTTGAAACCTTAAAATTTCTTCTACCTAACCTCATTAGCATCTTTGCCATTATGTGAGTAGATTTCTATGTGATTTGTTATACATATGACAGTCTTTTGGCCTAGTTACTGTAATTTTAGAATAAAATATCAACAACTTATTTCATTTAGAGTTACACCCCTTCCTTAAAAACAGGCTGTAGTCCACAATATACTTGTCATATCCCTTGTCCATAGTGCTTTTTTTTTTGCTTTTCTTTTTTTTTAAACTCTTTTATTACAGACTTGTGAGTAAAATTTGAATGCAATGGGTCAATATTAAGACCTTTTTTTACATTTTTTAGGCCTATACACACATATCCAATTGACCATGACTGGCACGAGAGGCACAATTTGTGTTTGTTTGAATTTTGTTTCATGCCACACTCGGCAATACGTCATCTTTATGAAGGCGGTCTGTAAAGAATCGAGCCTGGACTTGATACTATTTAGGCTAGATTGTGCGACGACATGCAGTCGTCACCGAGCTTGGCTTCCCGGTGTTCCACAATAATATTTCCTCCTCATTCGACAAACATGGGTTGATGTGGTCAGAAGCCACACAGAAAAAAGGTAAAGGTACAAACACCTACCTTAACAGTCTCACCATAGAAACATCATCCGCTTGGCCTTTCAGCGTAAGTAGCAGACGTCCGTTTTGAGCAAGTTGTGGAGGGGGGATAACTCTAACTGTTGCTTATTCCTGCAAATATTAATGTCAATGATGATAGAATATCGGATAACACGTTCAAATCTCTATTGGTTATAGTGGATTTTTAAATCTAGTTTTATGTCTTATGCTGGTCTTTTTGTAGCCTTTCTAACTTTTACAATTATATACATAAGCTGACATACAGACCAGGAAGGTGACTGTTGCAATATTAGATATAATAATATTTTATTTGTGTGTTGGTTGGTTGGTTGGTTTGTTGTTTAACGCCGCGCTCAGCAATATTCCAGCTATATGACGGCGGTCTGTAAATAATGGAGTCTGGACCAGACAATCCAGTGATTAATATCATGAGCATCGAGCCACGAAATACGGATCGATGACATGCATCAACCAAGTCAGCGAGCCTGACCACCCGATCCCGTTAGTCGCCTTTTACGTCAAGCTTATCACCTTTTACGGCAAGCATAGGTTGCTGAAGACCTATTCTACCACGGAATCTTCACGGGTCTTTTATTTGTGAGAAAAGGGAAGAGGGCGAAGAACCTCAAAGGAGCATTTCAAAAAGTTATCAATTTAAAAACATTTCACAAAATCTCCCACATCTTTTATTCTAAATTAAATGTGCCCGGTATGCCTGGTATCTGTTACATACACCTCCCACGCTATTTCTAAATTATGTATGTGAGACCACGGGTGACTCTACAGAGATGCGTCCTCTTGGGCAAGCCAGAAACCTGTGATAGTGGGTTTGAATTAAATTTCTAGATTTGTCACGCAACACTTCTTGTTTCCTCCCATATTAAGCCGACACGCCGTGATATAACTGAAGTACTGTATAAAGCAGCGTTAGACACGCCGTGATATAACTGAAGAACTGTATAAAGCAGCGTTAGACACGCCGTGATATAACTACAGTACTGTATAAAGCAGCGTTAGACACGCCGTGATATAACTGAAGAACTGTATAAAGCAGCGTTAGACACGCCGTGATGTAACTGAAGTACTGTATAAAGCAGCGTTAGACACGCCGTGATATAACTGAAGAACTGTATAAAGCAGCGTTAGACACGCCGTGATATAACTACAGTACTGTATAAAGCAGCGTTAGACACGACGTGATATAACTGAAGAACTGTATAAAGCAGCGTTAGACACGCCGTGATAGTACTGAAGTACTGTATAAAGCAGCGTTAGACACGCCGTGATATAACTGAAGTACTGTATAAAGCAGCGTTAGACCCAACTCACTCACCAATTGCGTATGTTATCATGTACACAATACACACAACATCATTATTATTAAATCTAACTTGATAATGGCAGCAATATTAACAAAACATGATTTGGAGACTTTTAAAATATTACAAAAAAGGACACACCAATTGCTAGAAGGAAGAGATTTTAGAACACATGCTTTGTTTGTCGTTTACTGCAGCACTCAGAAATATTCAACATATTTTTTTATAATTAAACTACTGCAATGTACCATTCCACATATATACTCTTCAAAAAAAGAAACGCAAAGCCAGATTTGTGTGAGGAATAAAACTACATTACAAGTTATTGTGCCAAAATGTTGTGGAGAGAACTCTTGGTGATTTTCGTTCACCTCAGTTATCAGTACATAGGAAAAATCCAAGGTGAAGGTCAGCTACCATCAATAACGCTTATGTCGCCCGTTGGAATCGATAGCGGTCTGACATCTGCCCATGGAAGAGACGAGTATGCGAATCACATCCTGGGGAATGGTAGCCCTCTCAGCCTGCAACGCAAAAGCCAACTGCTGCAACGTCTGGCGTAGTGGTTGACGTCGGAGTAACCGTCTATCCAATTCATCCCACAGGTGCTCTTTCGGGTTCAAATCCGGCGATCGAGAGGGCCAAGGGGGGTCATCAACGTTGTTGTTGTGTAGACAGGCTCTTGTGATCCGTGCTGTATGCGGTCGAGCGTTGTCCTGCTGGAATACACCGTTGCCGTTGACTGCAATTGGAAGGACGTGTGGTAGGAGAATTTCGTTGATGTATCGTTGAGCCGTAAGATTGCCCTGGATATGGACCAAACCTGTCCTACCATGATGAGCGATAGCCGCCCACGTCATAACGCTACTCCCACCAAACCTGACGACTTCCTGTACGCAGTTTCCGGCGTAATGTTCTCATGATTCGTCGCTGAACCTGACAACTCTCCATCGCGGTTGAGGCCATACCCTGTGTTGACGACACCAATGCAGTCGTTGTTGACGACGTTGTCGACTCAATATGACGCGTCGAACAGGACGTCTTGTTAGTAGACCTGCTACTCTTAAACGGTTTCGTACGGTCTGGTTGGAGATTCTGCGCAGGCCGGGTATTTGCAATGAGGTTGAGATGGCTGTGGTCGTCCTTTCACGAAGGTGGCGCAGTCGGATGTAGCGATCTTGGGCGGGGGTGGTTACCCTCCAGGCAGACTCTTTACCCACTACACGGATGCGGTAGATACTCTTTGAATAACTAACGTTAACTATTCACATAATTGTTCAGGTGTTGCCAATAGCGATGCAACAGAGGTCACTCACTTCAGCTAGTCGGCCACAAACATGTCCAGTAGCCAACCTACACACAGCTACTATGATCAAGGTAATTCTTTCTATGGGGGTCGGGTAGCCTAGTGGTTAAAGCGTTCGCTCGTCACGCCGAAGACCCGGGTTCGATTCCCGACATGGGTGCAATGTGTGAAGCCCATTTCTGGTGTCCCCCGCAGTGATATTGTTGGAATATTGCTAAAAGCGGCGTAAAGCCATACTCACTCACTCACTCACTTACTTTCTATGGGACATTACATACATACTACAGGTACTACTTAGACCGTTAAATAATTGATGCACCTTCCGTGGTTCCAGGGCGAGTGAAAAAGACTCGAGAAACCGTTGGTTGCATAAAGGAGAAATCATGTTATATTTTGTTCCCACGTATTCAACATCAAGTTTCTATCGTGCTGTGTGTTACGTGTTCGTATTACGGTTGTAAACAACACAGTCTACAAAACCAGTTGTCTGTGGTGACCGTTAACATGTCCAAGCAATCACATTGTTACGATCCTAGTGTATCCGGAATCCCGGGTTGTACAGGTCACTACAGCTAGAACCCCATTTACAAGCCGGCTTATGAGGACTGTGTGGCAGCAGTGTGTGACCTGGCTGATTGTGTGTCACCGTGACCTGATGGAGAAGGTATCGACAACTGAACTGCAAGGTCTGATACAGTTGTATCGCTCTGCTGTGATGTATCTGGATGAATGCTACCTTTGACAAAAACACACCCACTCACTCACACATCCAGAGCTGAACGGTCACAATAAAGTCAAAGCCACAAATACCTATGCTGTACCCGTCCTTTCGTATTCTTTCTGTGTTGTTGATTGGACGAACTCACATGAAGAATCATGACAGACAATAGATCCCAGCATCCTCGCTCTTCCCTCAATCGCTTAGTATATTATACCAATTATAATGGGAGGGCGTTGTTTAACTAACCCGGAGGCTATCAATGATAGAATTGTAATGCGCACGTATGCACACATTTATTTGTCTGATGATCCTCTTGTGAAGCATGTCAAGACTCATGATGAAAACTACCCACTCACTCACACATTCCACGCTGCTATAACTGTGGATGCAATCGTGACACTATCTATTGGTCACATCTTCACTTGGAGAATTGCATTTATTGCTTATCGCAGCCACTGAATTATCGCTACTTAATAGTGGTACTGTGGTATACATAGTAAATGAAGACACAGTCCTCTTTAAATATGTGTGTATATATTTGTATTATTTCATCTCAGTGACGTCATAACGTCCTCGGGTGCAGCTGCAGCTACAGCAGCTACAGCAGCCACACACCCCGAGGAACCTGCCTATACTGTGCTGGGTAAGTTTGTTTATGGTTTTGTTTGTTGTTTAATGCCACACTAAGCATTATTCCAGCTATATACTGCGGTCTGTAAATAATAGTCTGGACCAGACAATCTGGTGATTGACAGCATGAACGCCGATCCATGCAATAGGGATACGATGACATGCATCACACAAGTCAGCGTGCCTGACCACAGGATCCCGTTATTCGCCTCTTACGACAACCGTGTGTTGCTGAAGACCTATTCTAACCCGGATCTTCACGGGTTTGCTGGGTAAGTACAATCAATCATATATGGAGGATATTATATGAGTGTTCATGTCATATTATGTTTACGACACGAGTGTCTAAATTGCGATATTTCCCGAGCGAGAGCGAAAGAAATACAGGAATTTAGGCACGAGTGTCTACATACAGAGCCGAATTTTAGTGTTTAAGACAGCAGGTCAGCAGCGGAACCACATTTTGTCGAATCAAGTCATCAATCTTCAGCTGCGACGACCTCACAATATCATTCGCATGACGTTAACGGTGCAGTCCGGATGACGTAAACAATACACTGTTGTCTCGTGACGTGATATGACCCTAGGGCGCATATGAATTTTATGAACCCCAATATGTTTGCCCTCGTAGGTAATACATCTGTTTGATAAACATGCAGCTTTAAAATGTTTATTACCTGTACGTGTGTGTTGACGTTTAACCTGCCAATGCAGTAGTGAGTGAGTATGGTTTTAACGCTTTTAGCAATATTCCAGCAATATCACGGCAGGGGGACACCAGTAATGGGCTTCACACATTGTACCCATTCGGCGTGAAGAGCGAACACTTTAATCACCAGTGTACCCAATGCAGTAAATAGTGTGTTGTACTTTTATACGTTCTTTCATTAACTTGTAAATATATTTGTGGAGTTACATTGTTTTATTTGAATAAAAACTTTCCAATGCACGCTTTCATTTTTTATCCCTAAATCATGACATGCGTGCAGGGTTAACTGCCTTGTCATTGTATTAGAATTATGTCCCTTTCGGTCCACCATGGTTTCTGAAATCTCTGACGACGAGTGCTTTTTCGCAGTTGGCGAGTGATATGAGCGCCCATCGTTT